GTCTCACAGTGATTATGTCATCTTGGTTATCGCAGAGACTGCCACGTCTCACAGTGATTATGTTCAAGTAGGAAGGGCAAGCGTAGCCTAATGCTGCATCACACTGCCTGCATCACTTACCTCGCTTCTTCCCGTCACAGAAGGATGAGCACAGCTCAGCAAGGTATTTTGAGAAAGACAGACTACACGCACATTGCTTTTATTTCATATGTTGTTATATTTCTTCTATTTTATTATTAGATATGCTTATTAATTTTTTACTGTGCCTGATTTATAATTTAAACTTTATTGTAAGTATGTAAATGTAGGAAAAAATAGTATATTAAAGTTCAGTACTATCTGTGCTTTCAAGCTTCTCCTGGTGATTTTGTAATGTATCCTTCACAGATAAGCATAAACTACTAGATTTATACGCACACATATATTTTTTAAAGTTTCTCCAAATCAGAGAAAATAATTTTTAATTATTAAGTGACTAAATGACATTAATTTTTATCAAATAATTATATGGATAATTCAATAACTATAAAACTGGAAGGAAATCAAATATCAGAATTAAAACCATTGTTCACTGTTAATTTAAATGCTATACTCTCATTACAGTTCCTTTTCATATAAGTTTATTTGTAACCATTGTTCAAACTATTTCTGGAGTTAAGTAATCTGAATTGTAAATTATTGTCTTATTGTGTTTTATCTTTGCCTTTGAAATAACATGAAATCTTACCTGAGATTTAAGCAATGTCCCAATGGCAAAATCTTACCAAAATTAGAGTGGGTAACTGTTAACACATATATAATAAATTTTATTTTTTTATTTTAAAGAGAAAAGAACAAAAACACAATAACAAAAACAAACACAAAAAGTAAAATGACACAGAATTTCAAAACAAGATGATAGGAAATTAACAATGGTTGTTGTATTATATAGTTATCTTCAAACTAATCACTCAGATTACAAGATATAGGTTGGCAAAATTGATCACACAGTTAAACATTAACTGTTCCTTTCAACAAACCAATAGAAATTAGTAGTATAATTATCTTAGCTATCTTGTGTATATATACATATTTTTCCTTCCTTCTTTCTAAATTTTATTTTTTAAAAAACAGCAGCATGTTATTTAATGTAGAAGATTCAGCTACCAACATTGAGAAAAATTCAGCACTTTTTAAACTAATATTTATGTTCATATTTCTTCATGCTCTGGAACTTCAACATTTGGTACTCCAGGGGCAGCTCACCCATCTGTAGTGGTAAATGATGTTTATAAAGCAGCCCAGCAGCACTATTTAGTAACAGCTAAACATGCTGGATTAGCTTGTCCGTTCTATCTTCCTTTTGAATATTATGATGAAAATTTTTAATGATTTTCAGCTGTAACTCAGAAAGCTATTTTAGATGTATCTAAGGATTTCAAATGTCCAGGGAAGTACTGTTGATTTATGTAATGAATTGGTGCCATGTTTTTCCTACATCTCTCTATGCCAAGAGCCACATCATTCCAAGGGGCCAAAGTGACCTTGTTTCCAGACTTCAGTTTTTGTTTACTCTTTGCCACAATAGTACATGAGAATAGCTTAAAGCCACAGCTACGGTAAGTACTAAAATGAAAATGGTCTTATCTAGGATTTACTTCTAGAGACAATGACTTTCATCCTTTAATTTGTTTCTTTTGGCATTTACTTTGATGTTTCTAAATGTCATATTCCTGCTGTTAATGATTGATTAATCAAACATTTGTGCACTTCCTGTTCTAAAAGATAAAGATTCAGCCTTAGGTCACCAACATCATCTTTTTTTCTTTTCCTCTTTTTTTTTTTTTTTGGCCTTTCCCAAAAGAGCTAAATCACTTTGTTTTTTTGCTCCAGTCTTCCCAAGTAATTTTATCACAATCTTGTGTTTTATACGTGACTGTTGTTAATTTATGTCAAATTTTGTATTATTATTATTATACTTTACACTTTATTTTCCTTAAACTAGAAGTTGCCTTTTCACCTTCTTAATTTTTCTTGTGTCTATAATTTTTATGATATTTGAGCCTTGAAAGTGTCAATAAACTTCCAAGTCCATTTTTTTTGTTGTTGTTTTTTTAGTCTACTGCCTTACTTCGTCTTGTAACTCTAGGTCTACTGCAGTCATTACAAGAAGTATCATTTACCTCTCTTCCATGTCAGTTCTGTTGTGTAGTAGATCTTATATTTTTCTGTTTCTCGATTTATTCCTTCATTTTAATAAGGCACATTATCCAGTAGGTTTTTTTTAATACACAGTACATGGAGAAAAATTCCTTAGAACCCTAAGGGTTGGAAAACACCTGCATGTTCTTTCATGCTTGTTGATACATTGGCTGGCTGTAAGGTTTTGGTTGGAAATCATCTCTCTCAGATTCTGGAATCTGACAAGTTTTGAAGTCCAGTAGCCTTCTAGGTTCCAAGTTGCTACTGAGAAATACAATGTTTCTATCTTTTAAAAATTGTTTACCATACACCTCTACTTTCTGTCCATCTTCCAAACATATGTAAAACTCATTTCTACTATTGGTAGTCCTCTAAGTAACCTTAATCTTTGGAGTTTATACCACTTTAAAAAATTCTTTACCCGTAATTTCAGTGGGGTTTTGGTATGACTGTATGGCAAATTGATGTGACCAGCCTACCACTGTTTCTTCAAACATTATCAGATATTTAAACCTATGCACTTCTTTGCAGTTGTGGACAGCTTCCACTTTACAATGGTCCCAGTTTTTAAAAATTTTATGATGTTTCAAAAGCCATATAATTTAGTTGAAACTGCTTCAAATTGTTATATTTTGCAATGCTAAAGACATACTGTAGAATACTGTCTTCTGATGCTAAGCAGCAACAGTAAACTATAATTCCTAGTAAGCAACATGGTCATGAAGGCAAATAATTAATACTCTAAGCAGACTGGACATACCTATGTTATAAGAAAAATATTTTCAAAGAGCTTTGGTGCCTATATACATTAACTATATAGTATATTTATATGTGGCCAAAGACAATTCATTCAGTGTGGCTCAGGCAACCCAGGCATGCCCAAACTACAGGGCACAAGTTGGACATGTCTGCACAATATATTGAGCCACTAAGCTATAATATGACATAGGTTAAGTGTATTAAAGGAATTTGTTGTACTGCGATACACTCCCAACACCCACCGCACACACTTTTTGAGAAACTGTCTTGTTGAGTTGCCAAGGATGGCCTGGGCAGAAGATCCTCCTGCCCCAGCTTCCTGAATAGTTGTGATTACATCCATGAGCCACCACATCCAACTTAAATTCAGTTTTCATTTACAATATTTTCAATTTATGATGAATGTATTATAACATAACCATCACATGTTAAGGAGCATCTATATTATTACTCTAGTAGCAGACCTGACAGTTGGTAGACTAGTCCCATTGATGATAGGATGGCTGAAATTGCAAGAATATTGATAGTTTTCTTAACCCTAAACAGCCAGCTTACAGAGACATATTGAAATTTATTTTGTTTTGTTTTGTTTGTTTTTTTTCCAGTACTGGGAATCGAACACACAACCTTGCCCTCGCCAGACAGGCGCTGTGCTGCTGAGCTAAATCCCCAGCCCCCATATTGAAATTTAAAACTATATTTTTCCCTCTACTCTGCTTGAGGGACACATACAGTCTGCGTTTGTCATAGAAAAAACAAGTAATAGAGAACCTCAGACCACGCTTCACTTTATCTTGCTACAATAAACTAATACTATTGCTGTAACGTGAATCATTCCTTTGAACTATTCTTTGAACTTCAGAGTTTAAGTTCCCCCTTCAATCACTTTTGGAATTCCACAATTGAAAGTGGAACACCTAAAACCAAATAATTGCTGGTGGTCTGACTCATACAAAATAGTGGAGTACATGAAATCAGACAAGGAAAACTGAAATAATGATGTTCGGATCTGAAGGCAAATATACCTTAATATATAATCACGTCAATTGAAATCCCAGGACACAAAGAAACAACTTCTTTGATGTTTTTACCTACCTTCCCATGCAAGGCACAAACAGCATTCTCTAATTTGAAAATGAAAAATATGTCTTTGCACTCTAAGTCTAGCCTTGCGAAAGCACAGCAATCTTTCAGCTAAGTGGTTATTCTCAAAGAGAAAAAGGACTTTCCAAGGGGTATTTATGAATAACCACACAAACCCAACAGTTGTGGTGTGTTTATGTGTCACTTCAACCTTCTCTCTGCTGTTGTAACAGCAGTTACTCAGTGTTTAGTAATGGCTGCCTGAAAAGCATTTTCAGGTAATGCCTGCAGAAAGGTTTCTTGCTCTTTACCCACTTGAGGGTTTGCCCATTGGTTTTCCCAAGTGAACTTCAGGTTCTGGACTTCTTTATTTTATTATATAAGGCTCCCTTTTTTATTTTATTTTATTTTATTACTATATTTTATACAGTATTTTATTACATGTTTTATACATGTTTTTAGAACATAATTATTATATTTATCCTGCACATAACACATCTTAACACATGTACATAACACATCTTAATTCTTTTTTGGTCTCCTTCCCCTTCCATCCCTCCCTGCTCCCTCCAACTCTTAATCCTCTTCCCATTTGAAAAAGCTCTATTTCTATTTTTATTTGATTTTCTTTTTAAAATCTTTTCCCCTTGTCTCCCTCCCCCATCTTCCCCATCTCTTATTCTCCTCTCCCATTTGAAAATGATTTCCCCATTACCTATCTTTTATTTTGCTTTTTATTTATATTCCGGATTTCTTTTTCATGTAGTTTAAATAATCTAAAGCAGAGGGAGAAAATATACGGGTCAAGCAGTGAAAGAGTGAAGTTAGGCAGTCACTCCTCTTACATGGGGCAAATCCTTCTATCACTTGGACTTTCAAGGCTTCTCATCTTTAAAATTAAATAATACAGATAGATCTTCAAATCCCTGATCAACTCTTGAATGCTATTTCAAGAGCATCATGCTGTTGATGAGTCTGTTTCAATGAACTGAACAGTCACTCCTGTTCACTGTGCATCTGGCTATGAAATAATTTGTTGACTAATTTCTTTAATGCATGTTTCTTGGACATTATACTCAGAGCAAAGTATGCAGCAGTAAACAAATGGACACAGTCCTTAGTCTCACTTGAGTGCACAAT